ATTTACTGTTTTTTAATATGTAGAATGAAACCAAAGTATTATAATGCATTATTTTAACACAATATTATACAAAGATCTTAATGTTTTAATGTATATATATAATATAACATTATTATACAATTTATATTTCTTTATTTATTCAAAAATAGGGTTTCACTGAAATTTTGTTGTTGTTGATACTCTTGTTGTGATATAGATCCACTTTTGAACTACACTAGGATCTGAAAAGCGATTTTGTTTAGATCTCTCACTTTTTTGTTTGTCTTCCAATTTCTTTGTACCCTTCATAACTTTGCTAGATTTTGATACGGGTTTGCAACTATGCATGAGATTGTATTTTCTTACACTCCAACGTTTCGAGTTTAAGATCAATGTCATATGCAACTTCCAATTACAGCTGGATCCAGTAACTTCCAACGCTCTTTGGTTTTTCATCACATTTATCTCTTTTTTTATGAACATTAAGTATAACATTCTTTTATTTGTTTATTAGAATACTAAGTTATAATTTTTTTATACTTACCGTAACTTTTCTACACACTTGGATGATACTAGACTCCACCAGAAATATTGCATGTAAAAATTTTGGAGGGAAAATTTTGGAGGAAAATTGTTAGAGAACAGCATTTGGATTTAGGTATTTTAAACTCAAACTATTATCATGTTCACATGGTCACATGAGACCATATTGGTATGGTCACATGGTACCATATTCATATGGCCACATAGTACCATGTTCGCATGGTCACATGGTGTCATGGTGTCATGGTACCATGGTATCACGGTGCCATCTATTTTCATGGAATTAAGAGTATACTAAAGAAGGAAGTATTTGACGAAGTACTTCTTTTTTATTTGGAGGAATTGACATCATCGAGTTCATGACTTGAAAATTCGTTCGACAAAGTCTTCTAAGAATAAGAAGAAGGGAAAAGGTCTGATAAATGAAGAAGAAGTAGAAGATAAGCGAGCAAAAGAAGACGAAGAACAACAATTATATGTGATGACAATGTCACCAAGATGCGTGAGCAGTTGACAGCCGCCATATTTGTCAATAAAAATGTTCAAAAGTAGAATTAAGAACTTATTTATGTTATGAACTTATTTCTTTTTGTTATGACATTTTGTTTGTTTATTATAAACCTACAGATCCGAACCAGATCTATGACAATAACATACAACAAAGGACAAAACTTCACAAACATCACTAAGTAGAAGAAAAGAAGTGGAAAAAACATCATTTTTCAACAATTAGAAGAAAAAAGGTAGAAGAAACATCACTGTTCATCATGTAAAACCGACAACCATCAACGTGGATGAAAAAAAATAAGATTTTCACAATTGCTTACCTATTTTCAACTTCTTTGACAATTTTGCACTGATTTTGTTTTGATTTCTACCGATTTTGGAGAAAAAAATTGAAAGATTTAGATGAGAGAGAAAGTGTAGGAGAGAGAGAGCTCAATGTCGACAATGGAGAGAGAGGCAGGAGAGAGAAACCGAAAAGAGAGAGGAGAGAGACAACTAATTTTTGGAGAAATTTTTTATTAAAAAATTAAATACAAAAGGGTATTTTAGTCATTACTAATTGAAGAAGGTATATTAGAAGTTGGATTTTTTTTTAAAAGGGGAGGGTATGAGTGGAAGTTGATGTAGCACATTAAGGGTATAACGGAAGTTGCCCCTACTAAATGAGAGGATTGGGGAATGAGAAAAAGGGAATAATGACTGCAAAAGTGAAAAAATAGGGTTATAAAAGAATAAACCTAAAAAAATTTACAATTTAATTCTCTCTTTTTTATAACTTTTCAATTTTTCATAAATATTTGGTATTAAAAGATCCATATAAAATAATAATTTTCTCTAAATCTTTTTAATTTTATTAATCAACCCAATTTAATTTACTTAAAAAAATCCGATCGTTATAGAATGAAAAAATGTAGTAGATTTTTAATGCGTTTATATGAATTAAGAGATAAGTTTTTTTAAAAAGATTTATAGATAATTAAAGATTTAATTTAGGAAAAAATTTATTTAAGTATCTCAACTTTTCAAAATGTACCAAATAAATATCTTAATTTTAATTTATCTAATTGATATCATAAATATTAAAATGTTCTAAATTGATAGAGTAATTTATAAAATCAATGATAATTTTTTATCTCGAATCATAAAATCAAAAAATATATTAAAGTTTTTCCGATAAGTTACTGTGAAGACTCATTCTTAAAAAACGCTCTACATCATCTTTGATTTTTTCTCCCATAAATCATTTGGAAAAATCTCATAAAAATACCCGAATTTTACAAAATGTGCCCAAAAAATTTATCTTTTAATTTGACAAATAAATACACCAAATATTGAAATATGTTAAAAATACCTTAATTTTTACAATTAAAAGGAAGCTTCCTACATTAAGTGTCGAATATAAAATTATTTTCGATTAAAATCCGTTAAGATCTAAACTCTTATGTGAAATAATTTCAAATAATTTGAATAGAATCATTGTGTAATTAAGGAACGCATAGAAAATTGCTTTCAATTTTAAGAGTTGAAATATTTTTTTAGCACATTTCAACATTTAGTGTATTTTTTGTCAAATTAAGAATTGATATATTTTTTTGGCATATTTGGTAAAGTTGAGATATTTTTATAGAATTTCTCCTAAATCATTTATATATCAAATAAAAAAATTAAAATTAAAATATCAATTTGAAATATTTTAAGATATCAGTTTAGAACGGGGATATATCAAATATACCCTTAAAATGCTACTCCTACTTCATGTGCTACCCTCCAAAAAATAAATAAGAAAAAAAGAAAATCTGAAAAGAGTAAAAGACATAGATATCCCTGTATTTTAAGTCAAAGACCAAAAGAACCATGCACGGTGGCTAAGTTTTTAAGAAATTAAAAAAAAATTGTTGTCTCTCTCTTGCCATTTCAAAAACTCTCTCTCTCTTACCATTTCGAAAACTGTCTCTTGCAATTTCGAAAATTCTCTCTCTCTCTTGCGAAATTTGGAGAACCGTTGTTTCTCTGGGGATTTCACCTTGCAATTTCTGTATCTCTATTGCGATTTTCAAAAATCAAACACCCATGGATCCAAGAACACATGTGCCTTCTGCTTCGTCTTCGTCTGGGTCTGAGGTCGGTTCATCATCTTCATCGTCGGACAAAAATCTCCCGTTACAAACGGTAGGTTTTTCTACATCTTCTTCTCCTTTTTTTCTTCTGTAATCTGATCCTGGAATTTAGGGTTTAGGGATTTCGAAAATTGAAAATTAGAGTTTTGGGGTTTCTGAATCTAAAGTTAGGGTTTTTGTTTTGAAATATATAATTTGGGGTTTAGGAATCCGAAATAGAAAGTTAAGGTGTGGGTGAGAGATTTTGAAATACCTTGGTAAGTTTAATGATTTTGTAAGTCGCAAGGTCATGTGGGTCACAGGTCACATGGGTCACAGGGATTTATATGGTAACATGATAATATAACTCACAAAGAGTACAAAGAGCACACGGGTCACTGGTCACGAGTCACGGGTCACGGGTCACATGGGTCACGGGTTTCATGTCCCAGGTCACAAAGATCAGAATGACGAACAATTATTTTATTTTGTAGCTTCCATTTGTCTACAAATTCGAAGACATTCAGTTTTCTTCGAAAATCAATATGAAGTGTTATCTCTATGAGACACTAAAGACGCTTAAAGAAGTACTAATAAATGAGAAATGGACGTACTTCGAGAAAGAATCACAGTTCAAACATCTATTCCATGTGCAGTGGGACCCACAGTTAAAGATGGCACCTGCGGAAGTTCTCATTAACCGCTCCGTTAAAGTGGAAGATGAGAAGGAGCTGTGGTTCGTGCTCAATGGTGTGTCCGTGCGATATTCGATCATTGAACACATACTTATATCTGGTTTGAAGTGCGGGGAATATCCAGAAGAATGGGAGAGCTTCAAGAAGAGTGAATTCAGGAAAAAAGACTTTCGAACTTAAGAAGGTTTGTTTGAATGATGTGGTGGAGAAATTGTGATATATGCCAACCAAGAGGGCAGCGGATCGTAAGAGATTGGCTATTCTATGTTTGAGGGCCGGAATCTTAGATCATGCTCTGTCATCTGAACAAATCAGCCATTGTGTACCATTGACCTATTGTAAACTCTTTGTATTGTTAACTGTTTCGTATTTTCTAGACTTATTATTATATTTATTGTGAACTCTTTCGTATTGTGAACTCTTTCTTATTGTGAACTTATTATTTATTGTTACATGAGACATTTGGGCATATGAGACATATGAGTTACATGAGTTACACAACCATATAAGTCACATGGTTGACAGTCACATGAGTCACATGGGTCACGGGTCAAATGAGAGTCACATGGGTCACACGGGTCACATGGGTCGAATTCATCGAATTAGTGACTTGGCATGGTTATGCAGTGATTAATCATGGATTTTAACATCAATAACAACTGTTAAAATCATGTTCGTTTCAATTTTCATATTCAAGTCACTCATACAAATGTATTCCATAAGTGATACTAGTGTTTCATGACAACTTTAGACCAAATTGTACTAATGTTCATACAACTCCTATTTACGTTAACGAATTTAACTTGTAGATATCATATTGTCATTGTAAAACATCATATAAACCATTTCAAAACTTTAAAATCGAGATTTGACCATGTTTTATAAGTGTCACTGAGTCACGGGTCACATGGGTCACATGAGTCACACAGTGTAAAAATATCTTCGAGTCACATGGGTCACATGAGAGTCACATGGGTCACAGAGTTTAAAACTTGTTTCTATCTTTTCAAGACTTTAACACGGTACTTCAAATAGATTGTCCTTCTGAAAAATGTATACAATCACATGGATCACGAAATCACATGGGTCACGAGAACTACATGAAATTATACAATCATATCTTTCTTTGAACGCTTTGTCCGTGGTTCGTCGGGGCCTGGAAACCGATTTTGTTTGGGTCTACCGGTTTTGCGTTTATCTTCCATAATCGGAGGTAATACCACGAGGTTTGCATCCCGGCCGTCAATGATCCAATCACAACAATCAGGAACCGGATAAACAGTTTTTGGAAAAGCCACCCGCCATGTCTCCCGGAGAAAGTATGGAGAGCATAAGTCCGGTATAATATTGCCTCTGCCAGTCTTGTGGACTGCTGCGATTGCGTGACTGCATGAATATTTGTCTATTGAATCAGTTGAACCTGCTTCCATTCTATGCCTATTGAACCTACTTCCGTTCATACCTTTGACGTGTAAATTTTGTCCTTACCCATTTCTCGGGATCAAGTTCTTCTTTCTGAATATACTCGGCAAACTTGGAAAACCTGCACGACATATGCACATAGGTCACATACATGAGTCACATAGGTCACATGAGTCACATAGGTCACATAAATCATATAAGTCACTGTTGGGTTCCCTTCGGGTTCCTAGCATGTGATCTCATCGATCTAGGGTTTGGATTCTAGGTTTCACGCAGTGGAAGGAAAGATCTAAACCTAGCCAAACGTCACACAAAACCAATTGTGCAATAACCCGAACAATCGTGTATATCGTCGTGGGATTCGAATACTTACCTCGTTCTTTCAAGATCTGGAAGTATCAATCGATCCAGGGCCTGTTTTAATCACCGAGAGTTGAAAGCACAACTCCTCTACACGTATCCACACCGGCGGGATGAATTCCAAC